GCAAATTAAATAAAAACAATTGTGTTCAAAGTAAAAATCTGCCAATTCATTCATTTACATGTAAATGATATTTTTCTGTATATTTTATTATAAATTCAAAACAATTATGTAAATTAAAAAAAAAAAAAAAATCTGCCAATGTATTCATTTACATGTTAATTATATTGACGGTATTCTATATATCTTTTCACTAATACTTGGCATGTATTGTCTCTCTATAATAAACATACAGTTCACTGTATGCTACCTAATAAACATACAGTTCACTGTATGCTACCTAATAAACATACAGTTCACTGTATGCTACCTAATAAACATACAGTTCATTAATGATGAACAGAGGCTTACAACAACAGAAGCTTCCTGCTGTCTGTTTGTAATTGTAAAAAAAAAGCAAAAGTTTTTGTTAATAACACCAGAAAAAGATTTGCAACGGAAAAAAAGCAATGGAAACCTTCCAAGAATAAAGTTGCAGCAGTTTTGAAAAATTACCCCCCCCTCCCAAAAAAAAAAAATCACTGTTTGTGTGACAGTTCTTTTCAGTTAAACCAAATAAAAATCGTAGTTATAAGAAAAAATCTCCAATTATATTCAAATAAATGTGGGAAAACAACTACCTAAAACCACTGACATTATTACATAAAGTATTAAAGAATGTACATGTGTAGGATACATTAGTGTTAAGTTAGCACTCTAGTGTATTTACATGATCAAATATGGTAGACAATACATGATGGAGGTTCTAGTGTATTTACATGATCAAATATGGTAGACAATACATGATGGAGGTTCTAGTGTATTTACATGATCAAATATGGTAGACAATACATGATGGAGGTTCTAGTGTATTTACATGATCAAATATGGTAGACAATACATGATGGAGGTTCTAGTGTATTTAAATGATCAAATATGGTAGAAAATACATGATGGAGAGATTATAGCTCTGAAGCTTATCGGTACTCAGAGCTCCTGACGTCAGGTATAGGGAAATTATTTCTGTTTGAATTTGCTGAATGTATATTAACTTATACACAGGAATTTAAAGCTAAGTTAGCTTCTAATATCTGCTTTATTTCAAATTTTGTTAGGGTCTTTGTTTATAATTATTTGTTGAAAGTTATACATTTTTATCAAGCAGACTATTTATAGTGAATAAGATAAAAACATAGGAATTATCTACATTGAAATATAAAAAAAGGCTTTTTTTAATTTCCATTTGGTACATAAATAATATTGTTTTAATGGAACGGAGAGAATCTTTATGATATCAGCCCTGACTTAAAGTTATCAGTTATATTACCCTTTCAGGTTTATAAGAGAATCTTTGACTTCAATGAGAGTCCATAATTGATAAATCACTATCATAAAACGTATGCAGACCCATTTTGCCATTTATTCAAAAAAGTTTAGACCAAATAAATTTGTAAAGGACATCAGTTGACTATCTTTATATGTATATGTATTATAATGATGAAGGCTGTTTTGCAGCAGTAGGAAGTGACTTTTATGTGTGTGTGTATGTGCTAACTTTTCAAAGGTCACCGTAACGTTTATATGCATGTGTTATTTAGGGCGAAATGTTTCAACAGGGCTGGTCACAAAAACTGCACGTATCACTAGATTTTTCACTATTTTGATGAAGAAGCTTTCTGGTAAAACGTACATCGTTAAATTTTGTCAGAAGGATGAAACTGAGTGTATAAATGTGGTAAGTATAAGTAGGTGTTGTGTGATATATGTGTGCTAGCTGCTTTAAATTTACTACTGTAATTGTTTGTAAAAAAAACTTTCTATTCTGTGAAAAATTCACATCATAATTTGGGCTGGCTTGAAGCTTAATCTCCTACTTCAAACAACATTATAAGTAATATGTACCAAGACCTAGGATGGACAAACTTTTTGTTTAGCTTGTAACATATTTATTGAAAATGTACTTTAAACATGCACTTGCAAATATATGCGTTTAATATTTTGTTATTTGATGGAGATTTTTGTCAGATTTACACAAATATTATCATTTCATAGGATTATGAAGTGAAAATAACATTGTTTAGATTTAACATGCCTCGGCGAATCTTCAGGAGATAATTGAATTTGTGATTAGATTTTCTCCTGTCTTAAATGCAATAATATCTCTGGAAAAAAAAGATAATAAAATATTTGACCTTTACAGTAATTATGTGACACCATTTTACATGAACTTTTGTTCGACATTAAAGTTCCCGCACAGTAAATGTAACCATTGACATACAGTTAATATTAAACAGTTTTTGTATAAAAAAATCCTAATCAGCAAAAAAACTACCATTGTGGTAACCCAATTGAAGAGGTACTTATCAGATAAATGAAAACGATATACATGCCAACTTTTCACATTTTTTATGAGGGATGCTGAAAAATTGTTTTGCAAAATTTTAAAATGTCTAAAAACAATGTACTCAAAATGACGACCCCTATTTGATAATATTTGATACTACTAAATTTTTTCATAGTACGGTATGTATTCAAATCATGTAATGGCGCTAGCCAAACACCAGAGAGCCCGGTCGTCGTGCTATTAATTTGTTTACACCTCTGAATGTTCAGGTATTGTGTCTTAAAGAGTACTGATTGACTTATCAATAAAAAAAATATAAAAATGGTGTTTGATAAAATTGAATTATCAAGACCAATTGATGATAGAAAATAAGTTAAGAAAAACAACAGCACCATCAACTAATATAAACAACTTTTGGTGACTGTTATTAAAATATTCTGTCTGTTAGTTGTCTCCCCCATGAAAATTTTGTTTTCTAGAACGTCTCAGGAGCCATTTCCCACGTCCTGATGTCTGAGATAATGATATGTTGTAATTTATAATATAGTTTTAAAACAGGGGCCGAACTTGCCCCGGTCTCCCCTACACATGTATAATACATGTGTAGGGGGGACCGGGGCAAACACGGCCCCTTTTCTTTTTTCAAGACGTTATGGAAGGCATGTACTATACTGTTGAAATGCATATTTATATATGTCATTTAGAAAAGAAATGTATTGTCTTTCATAAACTAATAACCAAATCGTAAACAAGACCATATTTTGGGAACTATTGGACTTTTTAGGTCGAGAGAGTTGGGGGCCGGACGAGCCCCGCCCTGAGGTAAATCCGGCCCCTACCAGGGCAAGTATGGCATGAAGGATAGAGAAGACAATTTACTAATAAGTGTATGGAATTTCATTCAATTCTGTTGGAAAATAAGTCCAGAACAAATCAGTGAATACAAAGAAAAAAATACTTAATTTTTGCGACGTAAAAATATTATTTTTGTGGTCAATTGGGTGACGTTATCAATAGTGACGTCACTTGGCACAATAACAGTTGCATTCGGGGTGGCCGAATGTGCCCCGGCAAAAGGGGCCGAACGTGCCCC